CTGAAAACGCAGCCGCCTTTTACCGCTGTAGCCTATAAGCATTTTTATTTTACAGAGAACCGGATGGCGGGTTCATACACCCAGAAGGGCGGCCGGGGCGCGGTAAAATCCTCCGCCGTGCCGTCTCGCACCGGTCATGGCGCCGCCGCCGCCGTCACCGCGCCGCTGCGCGAGCTGACCTAGCTGTCCAGGGACTGCACCAAGAAGCCGTCGCGTGTGCTTTATCTGTGCGCAGCCGGCACAAAATCGATTTGGCGCGCACCGCGCGAGGACAATCGCGACGCGACGAGGCGTCGCGACCGTCGAGGTCTGCCGAGCGGCGCGGAACGGCGCGGCTCACGCGGCGCCATCGTCGCGCGCGGCGCCGGAGCGATGGGTCTCACGGGAGTCCACCGGGCGGACAAGCCTGACGCTCTCTCTCTTCGTAGTGAACGTGCATGGGTCAAACACACGGCAGGAGGCGGGAGGTGTGCGCGGACAATGCTCAGCCAGTTGCTCGCTCTATTACCGGTTGTTACGATGGCTTTTAAGGTTTTTTATGGTATGCCAACTATTTTGCAAATTTATTTTATTTCCGATTAGGCTATTCAATATCCAAGATAAGGATTTTTCCTTAGCCAGGTCATTTCATTTACGAAATGCCAATATTTTCTCACGCTAAATTAGTATGGGCCGGTTTTTGTGACCAGGCAATTTTCTTCCAGTGGGAAGTGGCTAGACCCGGTTTTTCACTCTGTGTACGTGAAATTGCATTTCGCCTGCAAAATTTGCCTGATATTAGGCATCTGGGATCAACTATTTTGTCTCGAGATAACTTTCAATAAATCATGCGTTTTTTCGATCCATCAAAATACACCGGGAGGTATGGGCCGGTGCCATATTTCATATCATTTTCTCGATATGAGAACAATACTCGTAGCTGGTAAGTGGTATCTACTTTGATCTCTCTCAGAGGCCAGAGCCCAGGAACCGCATAAGCGGCCAACATCTTATTTCATGGAGGTCACGTGGGCACATATAGGTAGGTACGTATTTTGGTAAACTCAATCAGGCTCCATGGAATAAAATAAATAATATTTTTCTGTTTGAATGAAATTTGTAGTTAAATTTTCGACCTTGCGCGACAAAAATAAAACTTATTGAAGAGGACATTCAATGAAAGCATCATTTTATTGATTTAGGATCAACGGGGGTGGGTGGCCCGACCTCCCGGTTAGGATGCCAGAATGTGCGTTAGTATCTCAGCTCATAATCTTTCAAGAGCTTCAAATTGTCTATCCAGTCTTAACCCTCGCCGGCACAGGCCATTTTGAGTCCTTCGACGGCACAAGGGGGGGGGGGTTGGTACGACCCCCCCTCGCGTTTGGCCCGTGATGGAGCTAGAGCTTCGCGGAAAAAAAACGAGCGTGTTGCCCGTCACGAGAGGAAGCCAATGATACCCAATTTTAAGGTCCTAGGTCATCGGTTGACCTTCCAGGTCAGGTCAATGACCCAAAAATCGGGAATATCGGGACCTGTTAGAAAGTCGTAAAGCGTGGCTGCTAAGGGGTTTTCCGGGGTGCTGATCACGAATATCGTGTTAGTTTTTATCATAGATGATGTCGTTAAGCGTTTAGACCAGGTCGGGTCAGGTCAGGTCAGGTCAGGTCAGGTCAACCGGTAGGGGTCGCGACGGGTATTCGTAATACATGTCATCCGCCTCTGACAGCTTCGTAACATGTTACGAAAGTACCATAACTACTTCGTAAATGTTAATAGTTGCTAAATTCGAATTCAGCTCCAAAAACTAGCCTAGAAACATGTAAAACTCGTTAACCCTATTAGTGGCAGGCTCCTGGCTACCCCTATTAGTGGCAGGGGGGGGGGGCTGTTTACGACCCCCCCCCCCCCCTTGATATCTCGAGATCTAACCGGCCGATTTTCAAAATTTAAACGGCATTCGATTTCGCTCAACGTGATCTACATTTCTAAAAAATAAAAATTAAAAATGTCAATGGGGGGGGGGTAGAGGGGGGTAAAAACGGGCAAATTGCAGATACATTTTAGATTGTTTATCACGGCCAGGTTTCTGAACCAATCTTAAAGGGACACTCCCACCTTAACATTAGTTTTGAGTTGAGATAGCCAAATTGGTGGCCATGGCCTGCAAATACCGGTTTGGGCACTCACAACATCGACAAATGCTTTAATTCGGAGATATGGAATTTCAAACTTGCAGTTTTCGGATTCTAAGGGGCTAGTGCATTGGTATGCCCCCTTAGAATTTGTGACGTCAGCGGAGATCTAACGATTTTTAAATCTTTTACTAAAACGTTTGGTAGCACGCGGTGGTATATGCTGCTTTGCGCGCAACAAATGCCGCACTTTCAAATAAAGTCGCTAGGAACAGCGGAGATCCCAAAAAGTAAATAAAAGTAAAAGTCTAATATCTTGAAAACCGGTGAATATTTTTCGATGAAATTTGGTAGATATTCGTTTTCGCTCTTTCTGAACCGAGCGACATCACTTTCGTGCCAATTCATTAACTTTTTTTAAGGTGGGAGGGTCCCTTTAACGCAACTTTTGCCGATCGATAGAGAATGAACCAGGAATTCACATGGATCCTAAAATATGCATTTTCAAAAATCATAGGCGGATACAGATCATTGAGATTGGGGGTACACAAAAAGTATAGTAAATAAGGTTTTGTTGGTACTGTTTCTAAAAAGGGTGGTAATGGTCTTGTTATGTTACAATTTTCTTATGAGAGAACGACTACAATTGTATTGGTCATGCATAGGTGGTGTCAGGGCACCTATGTTGGGAGGTAAAACATAACCCCCTTTTTGGACGCCTGGATCCGCCTTATAGCAAAAACGTGTAAAAAGAGGATGCACAATAACTGTATATGTTATCTATCACATGATACCTTTCATTCACTGTTCGTAAAACTGGTGCAGCATCGTGATCTTCGCCCAAATGACTCGCTTTACGAATAGGACCCCCCAATTCCCAGTGCTCTGGAGCCGCCCCTGGTAAAGTTATGAACTTGAAATTTTCAGGGAATGTGCCCAATTTAGTTTTAGGAAAAAGCAGAAAATTTCAGCATCGTAGCTTCGGCGGTTTCGGAGATATTCCCGAAAAACCTGAGGGGTGGATAAAAACAACCCCCCTGCCACTAATAGGGTTAAAGTGAACCGAGATCACCAAAGGTCAATGACCTGACCTGACCTTCAGGTGACCTTGACACCCATCCTAATGCATGGGAGCAACATCAAATCACATGTTTGAACGTTTGAAACCACGAAAAGCTTGCAAACGCGCGGCTAATGCGAGCCGATATACGCCGAATCGCGATTTCGGCCAAACATGGTCAAGGAAAAGAGGTCACAGGTCAAAGGTCATTAGGGTCAGGGTCATGCAATTTTCAGGGTAAGTGTAAAATTGATCAATGCGAGGGTACTGAAAGTTTCGTCGCGATCGGCCGCTTTTTACGCGAGTTATTCGCGAAAAACCTTACCCCCCCCCTGTGCCGGCGAGGGTTAGGTAAGTTGCATGCTTTAAACTTTTTATTACCGATCGTCTGACATCATAAAACGAGCCTGGTTAAAATTTAGCACGAATTTTCTGTATGTACCGTATTTTACTCGAAGAGGGCAAAAACGCTTTATCTGACCGCTCATTGCCAAAGACTGAGGAAGATTTTGGAAATCACGTGGGTTGTATAACGGAATGGCTGCTTCCAGTTTACGCGGTCCAATGTGTAAAAATACGCAACACTTCTTCAAAACTGCGATGGCCCATACCTTCCGGGAGCCCACATCTCCCGGGTCTCCCCTACATTGCGAACGTTAGCGCTGGCTCTCGCGACTTTTACAGCGTTTGGTCCCGTTCGGTCCGTTCCATCAGAAGCCGGGTGGTGTGGGGTCTCAGCTTAGCTCAGCACACGGCCATCAGAAGCTGACGTCGGGCAAAGGCCTTATCAGGACGTCAGTGGGATGGGAAATCGCTTAGACGTATGTGGGCCCCTCTGAGGCCACAGAGGCAGCTAAATGAATCCGATGATGGGTCATAAATTCATAATAGATCCGCTTGGACCAAAACAGATCGTCTTGGGTGTCCTCACAGCTCGGCATAGGGCCCTCAGAGATTGGCTTGGATCCTCATAGACTGGCTTGGGGCCCTTATAGACCAGCAAAAGCCTCGTTTCTCGAAGACTGACGTCTGACGCATACAGTTATCAAATTAGATACCTATTTAGACTGTGGGGCGTGGGCTAGGGCATCAGACATTTTCATAGCTTATAGCTTTGAACTGAGTTCGGGTCAGATACCTAACCGTTCTTATATAGGGCAGCGGGGGCAATAAAGCCATAGGTAAAGCAGTTATAACAGCAATTGCGAACGCCTCCGTCCAACCCCTGATCACGTCCCCGATGGCTGAGGAGCTGCTCAGTGCTCACGCCGGATAGAGATTACCGTCCACGCCAAATCACAGGTTTGAGACGTAGAAAATGATTGGTACGTCATTAGCATGGATCAGAGGAATCGAAGGAAGTTATGATAATTTGAGGACCTATCTCACCAATCAGCACCTACCTGCTCGGGCCAGGGCCCACATTTCGTTCGCTTTGGTCCGTGCCCCGTGGTCTGCCTATCGTAACAGGAACCCGTAGCGCCCCTGGGATATCAATAGTTGTGTCGCCCACCGCCTACAGCAGCACCGCCCGCTCAGGGGCGGCTGAAGCTGGAACGATATTCGATTATACCAGACTACATTCACCTCTAGCTTTGTATTTTTCAATCTCAGGGGCGCCGAGATTGCGTTGGGCATCGACGCCCCGTGACCACCATGTAGACGTTAGTTAATCATCCCGCTCCAATGGTGAACTGATAACTCAATATATCTGGCCATGGTCTCTAGTTCTACGCACTACGGATTAGTTACATCTAAACTAAGAAATAGATAAACGTAGTTATTACTCATAAATAAGATACAACCATTTTCCAGCAGAAGAATGCAAGTGTACAACATGATATATTTCGCAGCCCACAAACAAAAGCGAGGCACGTCTCACCCTATAGGTACTATACACAGAGACGCCACTAAATCATACACTATGAATAAACATCCAAATAAATATTGCCTTGTTAAACCAAGCATTGTGCAAACACAGAAACGACGGTGAATAACATACCTACTTCCGACTATCTCCAACAAGGAACGTCATGTGGATACGTCGCCGAAAACGCAGCGGCTAGGTATGCATTCTATGATTTTGATTAAACAAAACGAACGAAAGACCTTTAGATAAGCCTACGCACAATTGATAAGACTCCCCGCTAATTTCTTCAACTTGGACCGGCGCTCCTATAAAAACAGGGTTCCCAGCGCTCCTCACCAGAAAATGGACTAGCTCTACAACTCTCGATATCCCTTGATAGTCATAACACGCAACATTAGACATTCTCCGCAACATGAGCACATACGATAGGTACTGAAGCAGCTAATGAATGTGGCGTCAAAGCACGACCAGTGACCCCTCCCCCCCCCTCTACACACACATTCACCCGACTAAATTCCAGTCACGCTCAAAATATAGCCAAAATGGCACACCCCTGGCAATCCAAACACTTTTAACCATTTTAGTGAGACGAAGATTGCCTCTACAGGAGCAATGGCAAGCAAATAGTTAGCAACGTACCAGGACTAGCAGCATCTTACCACTTAAAGAGAGCGAATACTATCCGACGTCACCATTCACATCCGGAAATCACTCCAATCACGCGCTGTCAACCTACTCTGGAAGCCTTCGCCGGGATTTAGCGGATAAATACGATCATCCGTGATACGTAAATTAGCTCTCCACCCCAGCAGCGTACAGTCATCGATCAGGAAATTCTCGCAAATGTCCTGGTCCTTGGGTATCACTCATCACGATGAAATAAGGCCATCCGAGAGCACAGTCGTACCTCAGAAGCTCTCGTGAGCAGTCTTCTGTCGTTACGAATGTTCCGGTTTATGAACACTGATTGGACTATCCCCGCTAAATAACATCACATTGGTGGACGTCCTATTTGCAAACGTCACAAAGCACTGTTCACATGGCGTCAAAGTTGAACCGGTGTGCCTCCTGCATCCTTTCCCGTCGGTCCTGTCTCTTCTCCCTCCAGTGCAGCAGGCCAATAACCAGCAGCGTCAACGCCAGGGTTCCCAGCAGCGCTATCAGCGTGGCCAGGATCGTCTGTCCCGGGGTGACGTACAGCTTGCTCACCCAGTGTGACGGCTCCTCGGGAGGATGGGGCACCACAATCATCTGTGAGTTGGGAATAAGCTGCGTCCACTGCTGGGTCAACGGCGACTCGACGTGCGCCACACGAGGAACCCCAATCACGAGGTCGTCCACGAAATTTGGACTTCGTCCCAGCCCGAGGACAGTGTAGGGGAGCTGTAGAGCGTGGTGACCGCTGCGAGACAGCTGGGCGGCGGCAAACGACCACAGCGAGCCGTCCACCAACGTCATACGTCCGCGCATCGCCGGCCCCGGCTTGTTCGTACCATACGGTATGTGGATACCGTAACTGCAGTTGCTGAAACATCCACCGTCCAGCACTATGACCTTAAGGAAGAGAGCGTCGTAATCCGCGCTGTTACGCTCGGCGGATACAGTATACACGCCATCAACGCGATGGACCACGAAGGCATCCAGGAGGCCGTCGTCGCTGATGTCGTAGAAGGCGGCCGCGGGGGAGTCGGGATAGCCGGCGAACGTGCTCCACTCAGCGCGGAAGCCGCGGGGGAAGCGGCACGCCGGCTGAGAGTCGCACGGCACGCTGCTGAGCAGGAACGTCCGGTGGGGAGCCACCTGGCCGTCCTTGCTCTCCAGCGATATCAGAAGGTCCGGGAAGCCGTCCAGATTGTAGTCCCCGACGCGCGGAGTGATTGACTCGCGGTAGACGTCATCGCGTGGAGGTATAAAGCCCCATTTGCCATGGACAGAATCTTCCGTTTCCAGTAGAATGTTTGTCCACGTTCCGTTGTGGCGAGCTATGAGGAGTGAGCTGTTGGTACACGCAGAGTCGAAACAGACCGGCACCAGGTGCTCTATTGTTCCGTCCGAGTCTACGTCGAAGAAAGCCGACTGACCAACAATCTTAGCACCGGCCGGAAGGGCAATGGTCCTCTCCAGTGTCCAGCCGGCGTCGGAGTGCACCCAGGTCTCGTAGCCTGACTCGGTGGCGATGACCAGGTCAGCTGTCAGGTCGCCGGTGACGTCCACAAAGGCGCTGGAGCTGGGCAGCCGCAGCGGCGCAGAGTCGGCGTGGTCGAGCACCACCCTCCTCACGTGCCGGTCCCGCCCGAACAGCCAGAACGTGCGAGAGCCGTTACGGGTTTGACCAAAGAGGTCGGTCACCATGTCTCCGTTGTAATCAACCGCCAGCGGCTGGCCGCGAAGGAGGATGTTCAGCGACTCGTTCCGTGCACAACTGAGGTTATGCGTGTCGCCCCAGAGCACAAAGGCGGTCAGGTCGTGCGTGGGCGGTGCTACAGTCGCCTCTCGAGTGACAACGAGAACGTCCATGGCGCCGTCGCCATCAAAGTCGCTGGGCACCACCGACTCAATCACTAGGTCGGGATAAACGCAGTGAATGCCACTGCGGCGCATCATAGGGGTCTCGGATCGCTGCGCTAGGAGGATCTCCAGGCCTTTTCGGTCCATGTCCAGCACAAAGAGGTCCGTTTGTTTGTCTCCATTGTAGTCGCCAAACGCTGCTGGCAGAAAGTGGCGGAAAGAGCCCAGCACTGACTCACTGATGTCATGGCTGCTGACAGGTGCTGGTCTTAGGAAAATCATCACTGCCAGCAGCAATGGTAGTAAGTGAGCCTCCATCTTCCATAAATCAAAATACCTGTAATGTAACAAGTAGCAAGTCAGGTAGGTAGTCAGAAGTTCACACAAAAGATGCAAGCCATGGACAAGTGTTAATTAATCTAGCATTGATCTAACAAAGGAAATAGCCCATCCAAATATGAAAATCTTTGATATGCAAATATGTTACATAAAGAAATAGGTTTCAGTTGGAGGTCTTCTGAAAACAGGACAAACTAAACACTCATCCCAGTTCCCACACTGGCCAATATTATTAGGTAGTTATTTCTTATGACAAATATGCATACTGATAAATTTGCTAGACCAATGCCAGGACAGTGCCACAAGCTAGCTCAGTCGGGGGAGGTTTGGTCAATCGTTGTCATTTTCAGCACATGCCATTTTTTGGCAACCATGTGCTAAAAATGACAACGCTATCAGCTATTTTAGCAACGATGAAGCCGATTTCACTCCTCAGCGAGGAAATCACGATTTTGGAAATACAAGCACTGATTTTGGAAAAGAAGTGCTGCCACCTGGTGCAAGAAGAAGAAACCAGCTTTAATATGGCCGTTGTTTGTATGGTAGTCCAACGTTGAAGTATACCCTTTTTTGTGGCCTTAAGTTGGAACTTTAAATTGAAGCATCCGAAAATGATCGATATTGATCGAAATCATGATGTTGATGAAAAAAATAATATATTAAGTTGAGAGAGGAGGCCATTTTATCCAGATGCGGTGGTTTACTTCTTGAAATTATTTTTGCTTACGACGACTGCCATGTAATGAGGGATAATTAGCAGCCGTCATTAGCAAAAATAATTTCAAGAAGTAAACTACTGCATCTGGATAAAATGGCCTCCTCTCTCAACTTAAAATATTATTTTTTTCATCAACATCATGTTTTCGATCAATATCGATCATTTTCGGATGCTTCAATTTTAAGTTCCAACTTCAGGCCACAAAACAAACTACCATACAAATAACGGGCATATTATAGCTGGCTTCTTCGTCTTGCACCAGGCCCGACTGGAAAAAATGCACGCTTTCGTCGAGAACTCGAGCGTAGTTGGGCGTTTGCGCCGAAAATTTTCGACGTACTTCGGCGTAAATCGCGAAAAAACCGTCAGGGGGTGGCACCAACCCCCCCTCGGCCGGCGAGGATTAAATGTCTTCGGGAGTTAAACATCTTAAATATCACTTATCTTGTCTCGTGTTCGTCTCAGGGTATTTAAGTCATGTTCAGTGAACCTCATTGTGACTCTCCCACGGCGGGAACAGTTCACCGGTCGAGAGTGAGGTTATGGATTGTCGGATTCCCTAGTTCAGATAACGTATGCTATCGTGTGCGTATTGACCGTTGTGATTCCTGTATTTCCGACGTGTGGTTTGCGAGCGGACGCTGGCAATCGGTCCCGCGTGGCCTGGTATCTGCCCCGTCAGGCGTCGGTCACCGGTTGGGCGCTACTGCTGATCAGAGCCGGGCAACAAAATAAAGGTTACATTATGGAACATGCCAGTGAGTTTGTGAGTCAGGAGATTTTGTGATAGCGAACGCTGGTGCTCGGTCCCGCATGGCCTGCTGATGTCTATTGTCTGCCCGATCCCGTCGACCGTGCCAACAACCGTCTGTAGACAGTAGTCACTGGAAGACAGCCACACACACACGCCAGCCCCCCCCCTCGACGAAAAGTGCGTGGCTACAGCCTGCAGCCATCAGTAAGCCTTGAAAATTTTCGGCGCATGAAGCATGGCTTGGTAAAATAATTTCGGCGCATAAACCCTTGCGCCGAAATTTCGGCGCATCACCTCCGCCGAGAACTTCAGCGTAGTGGAGGCATTTTTTCCAGTCGGGGCACCAGGTGGCAGCACTTCTTTTCCAAAATCAGTGTTTATCTTTCCAAAATCTTGATTTCCTCGCTGAGGAGTGAAATCGGCCTCATTGTTGTCAAAAATAGCAGAATCGTTGTCATTTTTAGCACGTGTGACAAAAATAGCACGTGCTAAAAATGACAACGATTGACCAAACCTCCCTCGACTGAGCTGTAAAACTTGCAACATGCACTGCGAGCCAGTAGGACCCTTTTCTCCTGTCATGTGTTCAGTGTCAGGCACACATTCAACAATTCAACCGTAATCTTTAAAAATGGAATAAATATCTAGCTAATAAAGTTACCTAAGCAAGGTGAGATTGAAAGTGAAATACATTGACCTGATACCTTGACCTGACTCAATCTGGTGAGTGGTGACTATGTCCGGAGGGCTGCACGGCGGGCTGCTGGCGGGGCCATTGTGACCTGTTGCCAGGTGGTCTTATTTTGCACTTCATTTTCATGCAAATATTTCCTTTTTGTGAGTCTATTTGTGTTTATGTTTTGCGCTTTAATTTAAGCATTTTGCTTTTGCGCCGATCCGCGATTAGGTATTTTCTCCGGTTTCTTGTCCTTGGTTACCAAAATAAACTGAACTGAACTGAACTGAACTGTCAGCTCGCAAAATGGAATAGCAGGGTGCTGCTATCACCGGTGAAACAGGGCCCACATTTAACAATGAGTAAATGAATAAGTGAATCAGAATGGATGAATGAATGAATGAATGAATGAATGAATGAATGAATGGAAGGAAGGAATTAATCACTTGATTGAAGAATTACTTTTAGTCCTGACAGATTTTCAGGTAAGATAATATTATCGGTATCTTGATATTATCCACATGCCCACGGTAGTACGTCAATATGGATACGGCCTTGATGGAGAATCGACAAACCCACAGTGATATAAATAGTATACGTTCTCTAAATTTAAAAAAATTGTAATGTAGATATTAATCCTTAATTACAATAATTTGTATAACTGGAGATCATGCATACTAAACTTGGACATACCCCCTAATTCAATATACCCTGTATAAATAATTCAATATACCCTGTATAAATAGTGGTGACCGCTGCGAGACAGCTGGGCGGCGGCAAACGACCACAGCGAGCCGTCCACCAACGTCATACGGACAAACCAGGGAGACACCGGTTGGTCACGTGACTCGGAAACAAAAATCAGCTGATAGAGTGGCGGAATCACCGTAATCAAACACGAATAATTCCGGACGATAGAGCGGCAGTATAGGAGTTTTCTTTACAACAGGTAATCATTGCAATGTATTATCATTCTATGACCAAGAAACGTTCATAAATCATACATTTCTTCGATGATTACTGCCGCAACCGACGCGCATATATTGTAGCCAGCGCATAAAGCTGTGCTTTGCGATATTATATGTAGTGAAACGGCCAATACTAATAATTTGTAACAAAGCTCGAAAAAAGATGGCATTCTATCTTGCTTCAACCTTCTACTTACGCTTTTATAACAACGACAGCGACACCATACGGCCTATCCACGCTATGCAACTCCATGGCGTGTCCGGCCGCACTCTGCCGAGTGTGCCGAGATCAGAGAGGGACCATCCGCGGCAAGTCCAGCTGCACTGCCCGGTACCTGGGAGGGCGACGCCTAGCCCCGCTCTGGCCGCTCGCTTCCGCGCACAACTAAGCTACCTGGCTAGGCCTGTGGGAGGGGAGGAGAAAACCAACAACAGTCTGATGAGCCAATGGAGTCTGTGAGCCGCGCCAATCAGCGCCCTTCCGCGCGCAGACGGGAGCTAGAGCTTTTCATCTCCTTTCCTGTTTTCGCTGGTCCGCCAGTCACCAGCATCGTTCCGTGCTCTCCATCTTGGCCGATTCGGCCGTGTGCGTCAGCAACAACAGTGAGAGAGAGAGAGAGAGAGAGAGGGGGAGAGGGGAGGGAGAGAGAGAGGGAGAGGAGAGAGAGAGAGAGAGAGAGAGAGAGAGAGAGAGAGGAGAGAGAGAGAGAGAGAGAGAGAGAGAGAGAGAGAGAGAGAGTCTCGGATCACGCCAGGCAGCCACATGGGTATCTATTGTTTATTTATTTTCCAGTGATCGCAAGCGTTTTTGTTTGGAACCGGGTGAGATCAGTATTTGACGCATTTCTGTGATCTGTATGATAAAACTGAAAAATAGTGAAATATTCACTTTAATTCACATATCGCTTTTGATTCATGGTACGGCTGCTTGATTTTGCCACAACATACAAACACAGCCGATCTCGGCATGTTTCTGTTCCAGAACAGCAGCTGCAGTGGACACCAAAAATGCATTCATGTTCTGACAACTTACTCCAAAGATACAAATATTTCACGACGAACTGCTAAGTTCCAAAGAAAGTATTTTCTCGCTCACAGATGCTCAACAAGAAGCGCACGATTGATTGCAACTAGCACGCTCACGATTTATAAAATAGCGCTGGCCCAAACCTGCCCCTTACATCCAAATATAATATCTTAATTCCAGCCTCTGTCCTATTTATTATTTATTAGCGCACCGAGAGTGAATGATACCACGGCATAGCCGCCATATTACAGAGCACAAATTGCGAGACGACGTTCGAGACCCGTATCGGCGTATTCTTTACAGATCCGGGTCTCGCTTTCACTCTCAATCAACCCTGCCACACCATCAACCAGGGCTGCGGAGTCGATGGATTTTCGGCGACTCCGACTCCGACTCCCACTCCGGCTTTCAAAAACCAGCTCCGACTCCAACTCCGACTCCGGCAGAATTGTCGACTCCGACCGACTCCAACTCCCGACTCCGACTCCGCAGACCTAACAGGGCTGCGGAGTCGACAGATTTCGAGACTCCGACTCCGACTCCGCTCGGGTTTCTAAAATCGACTCCGACTCCGACTCCGACTCCGGTCACAACTGTCGACTCCGACCGACTCCGACTCCGACTCCGACTCCGACTCCGCAGCCTGCCATCAACCGAGCCACATCGGCTCCGACCGTCTTGATCCCCGCACTGAAGTGAAATCTGATGGCCGGCCCGTCATTTCATCCTATCCGTCGGCGCGCACTACACCCGAGCTCACCCCTAAAGTGCACTGTGCGGCCTTCTTCGGAAACATCTGAGCATGGCGCTTGCCTTGCACCTGGATGCTTAGAGCCTCTTGTTCGTGCACGGCCGTTAGCATTTCAGGAGTCGGATGGTCTCGGCGGTGGCGGCGCTGGTCACCGTGGAGCCGTCGGAAGACACCGTCAGCTCGAGCGCCCTCGACCAGTGACCTGTAAAGCAGCGAGTCGCGGCATGTCAAGACGACCGTCACGTTTCAGTCACGAAGGCCGTTATAGAAGTCACGGGCGGCCGTCATATGCCAGCCGCGGCGACCATCACATAGCAGTCACGGTGACCGTCACAGGTCACGACGGTCGTCAAATACCACTACGAGCCACGGCGACCACGACTCATAGCTCATAACGTTTCCTGACGCACACTCAGCTATAATAACAGTACATAAGCCTGTACACACATTTCTCACTCGAGAAATCGAAACCCGAACCTGAGACCCATCATAAGTCACGACACTAAGTTGCAGCGGCACCTGCATTAGCAGACATCCCATCCCGGCAACACAAAAGTTCTCCCGAGCCACCCACCTACATAAGGACGCGGTGACGGGTCACAGAATTGCCATCACGTCGCTGATCTAGTGACGAAAAGGGACACAGCTGACCTGTGGACGCGTTGGTTCACAATTAGGTACTGACCTGGAGATGATGTGATAGTTTCTGGTCAATGTCGATACGCGCGCCGCGTGGCTGGCCATCACTCTGCACCTCCGGATGACGTTACAGCTGGATCGACACGCTGTCTCCAGAACCACCCAGAAACAAGCCTGATGGAGGATGATATGATCAAAACTAAAAAACCACAAAGCAACAATGAAGACGACAAAAGCGGCGGCAGGCACATAATGACGATTGACGACCTATAACTAAATCAGCAAATTCAACGTCAAAAAAAGGCTGCAAATGTCTATATTTTACTAGTCAAACGCCCGTGATAGGCTGATGCCTAGTAGATGTAGCTTGACTTTCCGAATGTGGCCTAACCCTCGCCCGTATGGGGGGGGGGGGTCGAACGGACCCTCCTTGGTTTTTCGCGGATAACTCATAACTCGCATAAAAAGACGCCAATTGCGACGAAACTTTCAGTACCCTCCAGTTGATCAATTTTACACATGTCCTTGACATTTTATGAACGACCAAATGACTTTGACCTGTGACCTATTAAGCCCAGCTGCCGAGAGCCATGGCAGCTAGTTGGGGGAGCTTCAGGCCAGATAGCATATGCAAGTAGTAGCCATTCAGAAGTCTGGTGGGAGGCACTTTCAGCAACTGTCAGGCGTAATTGGATAGAGTATGGGGTGTGTGCGCACCAAAAAGTAGCAACTGCACACTCAGAACATTGGCAAAACTGGGTAAATCGAATGAGAGAGGGAGTCAGGAATCAGGCGTGCAGGGGTAGACAGCTGAAACAGGCGAGGAGAGCAGTGGAGACCTGGAGACATTATGAGGAAACATTGGTCGGGGCAGGACCCAGGTTGAGGTGAGTTGTCAAGACTCAGTCACCCAGACTCCAGCACTGACAGACACTGACATCACAATAAATGTACCAAACCGTCAATAGAATAGTAAGACATTTTATAAGATTGGACCCTGGGGGAACTCCAGGCTTCCCCATCGGATAGGTTGTCTGTCCAAACCCTTAGCAGGGGTGGATGTTTGGGAGAGGTGGACAAAGCCCGCAGAGGGCATGTATTTCATGATCGCTACACACATTTCAAGACTTTTTTAATGATATAATAACTCAAACTTATCCATGTAACTTGTCAATTACAGGTCTAGTTTGTGGGCTTTTGTTTATTAATTCTCAGAGCATCATCTTTTCTGGTGAGTTACTTGCAACACGCATTGCTGCAAGCTCCAAAAGCACAACTCGAAATGGCCAACCACAGCAGGGTCTCAACCTGAAGCAGGAGATTGAGACGCAGAAGAGAAGGAGAGGATCAGGATCATGGAAACAAGAGAGCAGAGGACCAAAACGAATCTGGGTGAGGGGTTTATATAGACTTGACTTCAGGTAGACTACATACTTCGTAGGATAGGTACCTACCTAATAATCCCGATGGCAAATCAATATAAAAACTATTTTGATTTGTATCTCAACTAACCACAGAAAAGAAACTTGACACAAATCCACCCCACCCGGCACAGATAAACTCACAATAAAAATACCTTTCAAAATCCGTTTCCTGTTCCGTGGCCTATCAAAAACAAATCCAACAAGAAAATTCATTAAATTTGAAAATGTTTATAGCATTGAGCGCCTTGAGTTGAATCCAAAGCCATGCTGAACAGTGCTGCCAGATGGGGAAGGCTGTAATCCTCCAGATCAGTTACAAAAATCCTCCAGATTCCTCCAAATCCTATTGGTAGATATAGAAAGGCGGTCTTGGACGCTGCGAGGGGCTATACCCCCCAAAAAGTTTCCCCAAATTCTCAAAACTCATCGGATTTCGAATCCTTTCGCACTGCTGTGCAGTTTAAAGGATACTTTTTCTAATAAAAGTTGTTAAGTTTTCGTTTTATCCTAAAAAAAAACGAAAATTTTCGTCGATATCGGGTGCTGCAGGGCGGGCCGGGGGCATTTGCCCCAAATGTCCCCCTTAGATCCGCCAGTAGTTTGGTACCCTCGTAGATATTGTGAATTTATAAGTGGTGTTTGGGATGGGGATAAGGATGAGGATGTAGAGTGGGTAAAGGATGGGTGTGAGGATGGATTCAGGCCCGCCTACTGGCTGTTGTGGTAACTTCTGCTAATATTCCTCGTGTGTCTAGGGGTATTCTAATCTGTGTCATCTGCACAATCCTACTCAATCGTTGTCTAGGGGTATCGTCTTAACACTCAACAATCCTTTAGCCGTTGTCTAGGGGTATTTACTGATCGACCAAAAACCATGTGTCCCACAAACCCGTCCGAATCATCATATTGCCAGCGTTTCCACAATCACTTCCAACCTCGAAAAAGAACGGAGTAAGATATACATATTAAATATGTATTGAAAATGAAAAGGCCGAAATAAATAAAAGCGAACAAATCAAACAAAAGTGCCAGAAAACGAGCAATGTCACGGTAACCGTGCACTGCTAAAGTCATCAAGTAAATATTGCCAAAGTGCCGAAACATTCAATGAAAGCCGAAACAATGATTAAGCCGAAATCATGACACCGAAATAATATTGCCAAAGGGGTGGAACTGACTCATAGCAGCCAAACGTGCCGAAATGGACTGAGTCGAGTCCCGAAACACGGTGTCTCAAAAAGACATATAGACCAATCAATCGAACCTAAAACTGCCCACAGTACCGCGGCCATCCTGAAGTGTTGTTTCCTACGCCAGTGTGACTATATGTGCGTGTCTGTGCCTGAGACATATCTCCGACCGCAGCAGAGACTCAACCGAAGTCAGGCTCTAACCCTTTCACTCCGCCGGTCGGAACCAGTGGCGTGGATAGGGCTTGGCAAGAGTCCGGTTAGAGACGTCCGACTGGGCAGGAGATAAGGCCCAAGAACTTACATGTTTGTAGACCAGACGCACAAGGCGACCACCACGGGCGGCGTCGGGACCACCACTGCCCGCGCGCGAACCAGAGAGCAAGAGCCCCGGAGAGAGAGCGAGCGAAGGTCTCAAACGCGCCTATTTATACCTTCGCACATTCACCGCACAGGGCCGCGCCCGTCTCTAGCCCGTGCCGTCTCGGGGCTGGCGCAGCCGGCGATCGGCGCCATGGTATTTCTATATAGCATTCACATATCTTACCAATTGTCCTATCGCAATATTCTAATCTACCACCACCATGGTGCAATGTAGCATCATTATCCGCTCCCTATCGAGTATCGAACAATGCACAACAATCTGTACCGGTGTTCATACTACCGACAACGTTTAAGGCGCCACCTGCAATTGCATATCTAAATACCGTCACCGCTATTGCCGCAAGCATGTCAAAATAACATGTCGCTGCGTAACATTCAGGTCAACGCACCATCACTCCAATCAGTGTGCCGTGCTTTGTGTGTCGCGTATCTGAACAGCCACGCCGTAATTATCGCTCGGACATAACCATGTACCTTCTAAATGTGTATTCCCCATCACCCTTCCTGATGTTGATAACACGAAACTCACTCGATGTCTTGTTGCTGCAAAAGTACCGATGCATTGCGCCAGCTGTCCCTTATATTTCCGACTGTCTATCCACTGCGCGACTGCCTATCTGGAATATTTTTGTTACACTGTTCCAATAACAGGATATCGCCATTTCACGGTTCGCATAATTAATCGTTAGACGGGGTACCTTCATCTCACATTCCCTCGATGACCGCGAAAGCAACACCTCGGTCGTTCGGTTTGTCTCTCACTTCATACTTGTGCAGAAGTAGGTGTGCAGAAGATACGAGTTGAGTTGATAAGAAATCGGTCGCACCGAAGAGCCGGCATTGCTGCTTTGCATGTAGATCATGCACTGTCCATGGTCTGTCCGCTCCATTCCAGCCGAAGTACTAACAGCGCGCGCTCAGGGTCAGAGCTGAGCAGTGTACGACCCTCCCGCAACCGCGGGCTGCCGCTCGTTATCTGGCACCGATGTTGCAGCTGATTCTGATCGGCCATCACCTGTTGATAGCAAGATATGTGCACCGGAGCCAACAGCTGTGAACACAAGCATAGTCACCTTTTCCCCTCCCTGAGACCTGTTGATGAAATGGGGTAGGATAGATACGAAAGTTGATCATACTTTTTCAAACTTTCTTTCAAGCTGTATATCCAAAGGCTACCTTGTGGTGTGCAGATAATACAGCGATGAAACCACACCAGGTGTACCTTTACTTCCTAAGGTTATGTAAATGCGTGGGCACGCCATCTCCTCGACGCGCTGAAACGCACAATGACCTCGCAGCGTCCGCGCTGGTCCGCGCCGCTCGCTTCTTGAGGCCATGGGTCATGGAACTCTGGAAATGCGTAATTATGGAGATGCCCCTGGGGAGAGGCACTGCTCTTCTGCAGAGAGAGAGAGAGAGAGAGAGAGAGAGGAGAGAGGAGGAGAGAGGAGAGAGAGAGAGAGGGAGAGAGAGAGAGAGGAGAGGGGAGGAGGAGAGAGAGAGAGGGAGGAGAGAGGAGAGAGGAGGAGGAGAGGAGGAGAGAGGGATAGAGAGAGAGATGAGGGAGAGAGAGAGGGAGAGGAGGGAGGAGGAGAGGAGAGAGGGAGAGAGAGAGAGAGAGAGAGAGAGAGAGAGAGAAGAGGAGGAGGGGAGAAGAGGGGAGGAGAGAGGGGGAGAGAGGAGGAGAGAGAGAGAGAGGAGAGAGAGAGAGAGAGAGAGAGAGAGAGAGGAGAGAGAGAGAGAGAGAAGAGAGAGAAGGAGAGAACAAGCGTTCGTCTGTCATTCTGTCACTGTCTTTTGTTTCTCTGTTCCGTGAGGTGTGCTTTGCGTTTTGCCCTTATTGTACTCGCGATTATCTGCAGCCAGGAACCAATTTTCTCACATTCCTCCGTTTTTTATAACAAAATGATGATTACCACCTATGGGTTCTGAACCAATTTGCCTCTATGTACTCGTATTACCGCCAATGTGTTTTTGAACTAGCTTTTAAGACGATTCAATTAAATGACAATCGTGTCAAAATCGGTTGCTTCCACATGCCCACAGTCCAGTGTCCGACATCACCAAGCCATGACGATTCCGTCGCCCACGTCTATTGCCACGCCGTTTGACTGTTTTGGTTACCAGTACATGGCCCTAAGTAAAACAACATTTTCCACGAAATAATAGTTTTATAACTATTGAACACAGACCTTCGGTCATGCCTACATGATAACGTCTGTTTCCTATTCGTTAGCCCCCGGCCTTCTTCGTCTCCCATTGCTGCACCAGAGCATGAATAATTTGATAACTGTAACGAAGCAATCCTTTCGACCACATAACCACACCATATCAAAGGTTAAATCTGACCTCTGAGGAATTTGAAGACTGGACGGTTGACCCGTTATCTTGTGCTGCGTACCGCATGTCATTCACCCACTGTCCGTTGGAAATTGGGCTGGAAGTCTGTTACTTCCATGAGTTACCTTTACTCGTACTGCTGTCCCTGTCGTTTGATTCCTCACGGGAGGGTTCTGTTATACAAGGAAATGGTGAGCTGATCTGTTGTCAGAACTTCTGCAACAAATGTCTTCATCCCTACTTATTGAGTGTGCGGGGCGAGAATAGTGACAAAGGTCTCGGGGCGGCCATGGTTGCCCGGTAGTCGCACAGAATACCTCTTGACATGCCGCCACGCCTGGGTCTCGCCTGTGATGTTTGACCCCTCGTAGGAGTTAAACATTGCCACCTTTGTATACGGTAAGCGACGTACCAGTACTCGTGAAGTGTTCCTCACGTGTATGGGGCCGACCGATCCGGGGGCGGGGAACGAATGTTCCTTTGGAGACTCACAGCATCTCATGCTGTGTCATCCCACTTTGGCTGCGTCTTAGCCACCGATGAGCTGAGATCCCGCTCGTGACATTACTGGCCATCGTAAGGGTTCGACTGAGGATACCTGCGACCATTTGCCCTGAACGCCAACTGATCACCGTATTCCGCCTTTGCACTCTCAGGGTAGTCAGAGGACATCGTGCTAGTCGAGACAAGAGCCACCCGACCATTTGGTTGTTGACATTCTCAGAGGATGTTTTTACGTTATCCCAACAGCGGGGTATAGTCACTCTGCTGTCTTAAAAGGAAACTCACGACTTTATGGGATAGCAGTCGCTGGTTGAGTTGATCTCGCCGACCTTTGTCCGACTTATCTCTGCAAACGCCCATGTCAACAGACCAGCGGTTATGACATTCAGTAGCGGTCACTGGGTAAATTGGGTTGCCAGTCCATCGAGAATTATCACGTGTTCATCCACAACAAGATATCAGACGTGTACGACGTAAATTCAAAACCTCATCTCAAGACCTTTACTGTCATTTGATATGAAAAACTTTTAACCAAAGTAACCTTACGGTAATTGACCGGTTTCCCTGTTTTGATGTTGAAACAAATGTCACCAATTTGTTGCATATTTTATAAGCTTAAATGACTGATTCCGTGAAACCAAAAGACCAAATATTTCACCGTGCTAACGCCCCAAAACCGTCCGGTTGTTGCCAGCGAGCATTGGTCTGTCCTCATGGACCCTCCAAGATCTGGATCGCAACGCACTTGATCTTTCCGACATTTTCTGTTTCGAATTCTGTCAAAAGGTTTTAAAAAGTGCTTCACCTGGTTCACAGAACACCTAGCAAGTTACGTCAAACCAGATAAAAGATAATCCAGCTCAGTAGCTAGATCGTCAAAGATACACACTAAAGATGCAGGCCCTTGCCCAAAATGCATCGAACTGTGCACGCTCTTTCTCACTCTCATCGCCCTATATCCCTATAGGACTAAAGCGACCTGGTGGTCACCGGTCCCTGTGGACCTCCAGCGTGACCGCTGCATGAACCGACGCAAACGTAGAGGGGGATTCTTCCCAGACAAGCTGTCCGCGGACTCGCTGTCGTAGCTTTTTGCATCATCTTCCCCATCCTCTTACCCGCAGGAAGACCTCAGACTTCGAATCGTCTCCCTCAGACCAATTCGACCGCACGCCTCCACCCTCTCCCAAGGGTTTTCATGACATCTTGACACCACTGTCAAGCAGATGGCCACGAGCCTGTCCTCGACAAAAGAATCGTCTCTGAGTCGAAATTTGCCATTGGCATCGCCGCCGCGAGCGAAACCTTCCGAATGGTCGGCTTCAGGCACGAATTATAATATTTCTCGTCTCCTCCCGTTGCTGAAGAGGCCATGGTTGGGCAGTCCACGCCAATTCCGTCATACCCCGCGGGCAGACGCCTTCACGCCTTCGGGTTTCCATATCGCTAGAACAAGGAAAACGGAAACGAGGGCAACTGATATCCTCTCTTAATGACTGTCGTGGGGTCACACAGACGTCACCCATTATTCGATCTGTACCCCTCTGGCGCCTCGTCACTGGCAGTGTCCAAAACTGCTGGGCTGGCTGATCAGGCGCAGCCGCGCAGCGCGTATTGCCCAGGGGGAGTTGCCCCTATACGCTATTCCCGGCCCGTAGAGTTGGGCGACTTATCCTCCTATCTAAGACTCTACGTCCGGACACTCCAAGCACCCGATCGCCAGATGACCTCATGCCAGCCGTAGTCTTTCAACGTGCTGGTGGCCCCACCTCGTGGCGGCGAGTCGTCCCGTATCACCGTCACATTAACCCCGGTGCCTACGTTAGGTATCAGTGCCGAAATTATTATAATAACCGTATCCGCCTGCCAAGTAACAATTTCCGTCTGTGATTGTTCTGCACATATCCTGTGAGACATTACGTCAAAACCGTCGTTACGTCTGCTCCGTCATGGTAAGCTGAGCTTACTGTTGGTCCTCACACTTTCTTAAAAGTCAATACCTAATATCCATTAAATCTCCGTCGACCAAAGTTTTGTTTGATACGGGGATGATCGTCTAGTCATTGTGTCATTAGTCACGCTGTAAGCGCTAAGCATTCACATCAATTCTCATGCGTCACACACACATGTCACAGATCAATTAGCACGTAACACACGAAAGGTCATACTCAATTCCACAATCATGCACATCAAAGGAAAGCCAAGATTTAACCAGCAAATTTGACCACTAACTGAATTGTGATAAAAAGTCTTTAGTTTGAAAATAGCATTTACTGTAATATGTACCTTAAATGTCTGTTATTGTGAAATAAAATGTTACTGTAATGCGTTAAACATTTCATGATTTTCCAACTACGGGTGTTGATACAGCCCAGGTGTTCACAAACTCTGCCCTGCTGTCCTCCGGTGAATCTGTCCGGTGTAATCGGTGAACAGCCTGTGGTGACCTTTACCGTGAGGCGCGCAGTAAACACGTCACCGCTAGCCTTGGGCGAGTGCGTGTGCGTACAGTGGCGTCCTACTTCCACCTGAAAGCTTTCACCGACCGTGCTGTTCTTTCGCCAACAGAGACCCCGATACAGTGGAGTTGCGAGAGCCGCCTGTGAAACGTAAACATCCGAAGCATAGCTGCTATTGAAATAATTGAGCGGCAATTAAAATATTTTACCAATTTGTAGGAAATCTCTGCTGTATGGCGGCATCGCCATACTATAGGCCCTTGGAACAAAACCAACCGACTACCGAGAAGAGATAACGTTACTTCCCATGCTGTAATTGAATGTTGTTGCAATAAAAACTCTAACCGAAGTACAATAATAGGCTCAAAATGGAAGCTGAGATATAAATAAACCAGCAAAAATGTTTTAAGTTTGACGAAATCCGATGCAATTCACGGACCACGGTACAGAACCAAAATATTAATCGACCATTATACCGTGAAAAAACGAACGGGCTGTCACCAGGCGATGCTAGCTGCTGTAAATGCAAGTCGGAATAAAGTCACTGTAACGTAAGGTAACGTAATGGTATTGAGTATCTGTATTGAGTTCCAGCAGAGCACTCAAGTTGAACGAATAAGGGCAAGGCTCATCTCCTAAACACGGAGCGGTCACTCCGACCAGCTCAGTACACAACAAAACAATAACAACAACATGGCGCTCTCCTGCCAACAACAGCTAGCTCCCTTGTGCTGCCATCTAGGGGCAGCATCAAACACATGTACGGTGCATTTAAGATACGCACGACACATCTCCTCTTCTCATCAGAACAATCAATCGCGGCAACACTCGAAGCAACATCACACTGCACCATATCGCGGCACGCGCGCAACATACGATGCACTCAGCGGAGGCACGCGCAATGTACGGTGCATTTAAGATACGCACGACGCATCTCCTCTTCTCATCAGAACAATCCAATAACACCAATAACACCGATTGAGCCCAATAACACCAATACCTGGTGTATTAGACAAAACGGGGACACAAGTTACCACACGCATATACTACAAGTCAGATGTAGGGGCGCCGAGTCACGATCTCACCGGACAGAGGCTATCGCGGCACATAATCGGCCAAGTAGGCCGGGGGCCGGGAGACGCGCCCCGATCGGCGGAGGGAACTGCGATAGTCACCGGGGTCCAGTGCCGGGGCCGGGGAGTCGGAGCCCAGAGAGCTGCGCCGCGCAGAGGGCGGTGAGGACATCGGCGAATCGGTCCCACGGGGCATATACGAAGGCGGCTCAGAGACGGGCCGGTCCGGCGGAGAAACGGGCGGCTCCTCAACCACCAGCGGGGGCGGCGGAGGCGGGTCACTGGTGCTCAGTAGCTGACGGCGGTTGCGGCGATACGTAACGCCGTCGACCCGGACCCAGTAGGAGCGGGGGCCTGCGTCGCGAAGGCATATGCCAGGGGACCACGTAATCTGACCGGGAAGACGCATCCGAATCGACTGGCCGGGAATCAGGGGAGGCAGAGGTCGAGCCTTTCTGTCGTAGTACGAAGCCTGACGGGCCTTCTGACGCGCGAGGGCCTCCGGCACGTCGGAGGGGTGGCACGGGAGGAGGGTGGACCGGAGGGCCGGTAGGAACGTGCGACAGGCGCGACCGAACAGTTTTTGTGCCGGTGAGACAGACATCCCCTCACTGGGGGTGTTGCGCCACATGAGTAGCGCCCAAAGTGGATTTTTGCCATCTTCCATAGCCTTGCGCATAAGGTTTTTCACGGTTTTAACAGAATTTTCTGCTTTGCCGTTCGACTGGGGATAGCGCGGACTACTGGTCTTGTGCTGAATGTCCAGCTCCTTAGTGAATAACCGAAACTCTTCACTGCTGAAAGGGGGTCCGTTATCACTGATAAGGGTCTCTGGTAGGCCGTACCGAGCAAACTGAGAGGTCAGGGCAGATATCACATGTGCGGCCGTGAAGCGGCTGGGGGCTCGACCTCCACAAAATTCGTAAAATAGTCCACAATCAGCAGGTACGTCTCTCCACGAAGGTCGAACAAATCCATGGCCACTTTTTCCCAAGGCCGACTCGGTATCTCGTGCGGGGACAGAGGTTCTGGTGGCTGCGAGGGCCGGTATGCCAGGCAAACCGGACACCGGAGGACCGCCTCTTAATCATGGCTGTCATCCCGACCAGAACACATTCTGTCGCGCCAGCCGGAGGATTGAGGCGACCCCGATGTGGGTGCTGTGAAGTCTGGTAATGATGTCCCGCTGCTGAGACGAGGGTATCACCAGACCACCGTCCCTTATATAGCAGGCCGTCTTCCGAGGCCAACTCCCCACGGAGGTGGTGGAAGGCCCTTAGACTGGCCGGCAGGCGGCGCCGGTCATCCGGCCATCCCAGCTGCAGCTGTCGGATGACCGTCGTCAGAACAGGGTCCGCCTCAGTGGCGGCCCGAATCGCCTCCAGCCGCTGCGGAGACACAGAAATGCCATCAACGAGGCGAAGTGACGAGGTCTCCACAGCGAACGCGGCTTGCGGCGTTTTGACTGGGGCTCGGCTCAGGGCATCGGCTACAGGGACCTGTGAGCCGGGACGATACACAATTTTAAAATCGTACCGTTGGAGCTGAAGCAGCATCCGCTGAAGACGCAACGGGGCATCACACAGGGGTTTTGCCATGATCGGCACCAGCGGTTTGTGATCTGTCTCCACAGTCACGTGCCGGCCATACACATACTGATCGAGCCGCGTCAACGCAAAACTGATCGCCAGTAGTTCTTTTTCCAGCTGGGAGTACGCGATTTCACATGCCGTGAGTGAGCGGGAACAATATGTGACAGGCTGTCCCCCCTGAAGCAGGACGGCGCCGAGGCCATAGCTCGAGGCATCGCACTGGACGGTAGCCGGTGACCGCGGATCGTAGAATTTCAGAACTGGCGCGCTCGTCAGCAGCGTTTTGACCCGGTCAAATGCGCTTTGACACACGTGGGACCACGACCACTCGTTGCGCGACTGTGTCAGCGCGCGGAGCGGCGCCAGGAGGTGGGAGACGTTCGAATATAGCGGGAGAGAAAACTGACCATGCCTAGAAACCGTTTCAGACTGGGCACGTCAGTGGGGACTGGGTACTCGTGAACAGCCGCGACTTTCGCCGGATCTGGCCGCATGCCTCCCTCGGAGGTCAGGACATGACCCATCCACTTGATCTCCGGGACCTTGTAGCGGAATTTGTCCGGGTTGAGCACCAAGTTCCTGGATCGAGCGCGATCGAGGAACGCACAGAGATTTCGATCGTGATCATCCTCCGCCTCAGACATGGACGCCCCCCTGCCTACAACCACTACATCATCGGCGATAACCTCTACACCGCGTAGACCACTAACTAGATCATTGATGACTCGCTGCCAGATTTCAGGGCTCGAAGTAACACCATACGGCAGGCGCTTCCACACGTACCGGCCGAAGGGTGTGTGGAAGCAACACAAACGCGCTGACGCCTCCGACAATCCGATCTGCCAGAAGGCGTTTGCGGCATCCAACACGCTATACACTTTAGCATCACTCATACGCGCGGTTATCTCGTCAACAGTCGGGGTTGGATAGTGCTCCCGGCGCACCGCCTTGTTTAGATGGCGGGGGTCGATGCAGAGTCGGATGTCACCTGACGGCTTATCTACGATCACGGGGTGGGAAACCCAGTCAGTGGGTTCAACGATCGGTGACACGACGCCAAGAGCCTCGAGCTCGTCCAACTTCCGTTTCAGTTTGTCCCTCACGTGAATACGGACCCTGCGAGGAGCGTCGACCACGGGGACCGCAGAGGGATCGGTGACAATCTCGTAGTCTTTCAAAATCAGACCCACCCTGCTTGTATCAAACACATCCCGATACTGGTCGATAATTCGTGACCGGCCAGTGGGCGGAGGGGCGGGGGTCGGTGCCCGTGACCGGCTGTTAGGTGAGTGGTACACATACTCCAACGGGTCACTGTCTTTGACGTCGATCAGCCCTAGACGGAGCGATGTCTTTAGACTAAGGATCGGCGCGATAGCCGCCTTGACTACTTTACATTGTAGCGTACAGTTGTGCCCCGTCACAGGGTTACTTAGTTCAAGATTCACTTTTCCATCCGTGTACACGAGTCCCCCGTCATACATGCGGAGTGCCGTCGAGCACGGCCTCAGCCGCTCACCCTGCTCGTCACCCGTCAGCCGCACATAGTCAGCACGTGTAATGACGTCACATTCAGCACCGGAGTCGATTAAAAATGTCACCGGCACTCCACCCGCAGTGAAAAGTGTTTTGTGGGCCTTACTTGGAAAACCTTCGGTCGTCATGATGTCGAACTCAGCCTCCGGGCTGACGTTGGCTGGCGGTGATACCTCCGGCTGTACCGCCGCCGCCGCCGGCCGACTCGCCGGCCGCCGTCCCTGCGCGGCGGCTGGAGCCGGCCGCCAGTCAGCTGATCGGCGCGCCGTCGGCTGAGCGCTGCCGCCGGCTGGGCGGCGCGGGCGCGGCTCAGCGGCGCGCCCCGGGCACTGCTGGCTGCCGGCGAAGTGGTTCGTGCCTTGGCACACTGCACACGTTTTGCCCCACGCTGGGCAATACTTTCGAGCCATCTGGTGAGATTGGCAGCAGAAGCGACACTGTCGGGCCACCATAGATGCAGCTACTCCACTCTCAGTCGGCGGCCGCTGCTCGTCTCCGGCGCTGATCAACTTGGAGTCACGGCTGGCCGCTTCTTCGGCAAGTGCGATGTCAATCGCCTGTGTGAGCGAGAGGCCAGACTTCTTCAGAAGGGCCTGCTGTGTGCGGGAGTCCCTCACACCCATCACAACGCGGTCCCGTAGCATATTGTCGCGATCCGGGAACTCGCATGTTGCAGCCATGGTCCTCAAAGCTGCCACGAATTGCAGGATGGGCTCGCCCGGCCCTTGGGTTCGATTATAAAACTTGAATCGTTCCATGACGATATTTTGCCGTGGGATGCAAAACGCATCGAAGCGCTCCAGTAGCGTTTCAAGGTCGCCATTTGTCTCTTCCCAGTCAGGAAAATGCGACGCAACTTCCTGAGCCCCACGTCCTGCGCAGTTAAAGGAAATAGTTCACTTTCACGAAATTATTTTTTTTGCAATGGATTTATGATTTTTTATGTTCAAAATGATCAGCAAAGAAAATAAAACCTATTTATAACAAAAGATTATTTTCTATATTTTGATATAAGAAGAACTTTTCAGTTTCTGTAAGGCACAGGCGATCCAGTATGAAAAGAGCATGGGTTCCGAAAATTCTTCAGAAACTAGAGAAATTATCGCGGCCACCGGCATTTGGGCGATCTGCTGCTGCTGAATGTCCTTATTGATCAGTACGAGAATTTCTCTTGAGTTCTCGTAGATAATTTCACTAGTTTCTGAAGAATTTTCGGGACCCATGCTCTTTTCATACTGGATGCGAATATATGCAAGGCACACATCCTGGGACGAGAAATAGAATATCTTTGCCTAGGGTGATCGTTGGGCTGTAAAAGCTCCTGATTTATGCTCGTCTCAGCCCAAGCTACGGAACTGCTATTCCAGTTCAAAACCCATGTTAAAAAGTGAACTATTTCCTTTAAAGAACGTAGCCACCTGTACCAGTGGCGGTTTTGTCATCAGTTCGGATGCCACTGCATAATATTTCCATTCTCTTCGCCACTGTCGCCATTCGGAACCCAGTGTCGGCGACGCCATGTTTATTTCTGGTGGGGGGCGAAAGTTCGTCGCCATCTTCTGACACCATGTAACGTAAGGTAACGTAATGGTATTGAGTATCTGTATTGAGTTCCAGCAGAGCACTCAAGTTGAACGAATAAGGGCAAGGCTCATCTCCTAAACACGGAGCGGTCACTCCGACCAGCTCAGTACACAACAAAACAATAACAACAACATGGCGCTCTCCTGCCAACAACAGCTAGCTCCCTTGTGCTGCCATCTAGGGGCAGCATCAAACACATGTACGGTGCATTTAAGATACGCACGACACAGTCACATGAAATTATCAAATGGATCTTATGCCCGAAATTCCCTAAGAAACCAATTAAACCGACGTTGGCCGCGCTTAATTCTCCAGATATCATGGAAGCTATACAACTGCAAAATTAGCCGAAAAATTTCCCCAACATGAAGGCCACAATGTCATAAAATGTCATGAAAAATGACCATGCCGGTTACAATGGCATTTGAAGGCGGAGCAAAATCCAGCTGAGTAACGTCAAACCTAATAGAAATAGCGTTATAATGAATTATAAAACAATCAGAAGCCAACCACACAACTTCCTAACATCATTCCGAATCCGGAACACCTCCAGATCTCTAGCTCAAGCAAATCGAGATGCAAATCTCAGCACGCACACAACTTTCTCACAACCTGTCGGCACCGAACCACGCCCGGGTCTCTTGATCGAGCAGATCAAGATGCAACCCCCGGCACCCACAACCTCCTAACCGCATGCTGACGCAGGAACACATCCAGGCTTCGTGATCGAGCCGATCAACATGCGAATTTGCACCATTACCGAAGAATACCTTCTGGTAATGAAGGCACCGAATAACTCATGGTTACAGGTGTTTGTAACCCTTGCCGTGTGAAGAGGTCAACGCCCTCCGCGCACCTTCCCAGTCCCGTTGTCTGTGTGTAATAATCGTGTCCATTCCGTATCCGTAACTTTCAATTTCAAACTTAACCTCAGGCTCGCGGTACTGTGAACACTAACCGACCCTTAGAATTTGTTTGTGCGTGTTTTGCACCTACCGTCCTCAATCACTTTCACTGATGGCCGAGCCCAGACTGAATGTGATTACAGTTCGGAGCCGGAAACAATGACCATTATAAACAAAATAATAAACAAGGTTATTAAACAAGCAAAAGCCAGTAGGGGCATCTCCAGGTCTCTTAATCGAACTGATTAAGATCAAATCCCGGACGAGCCCCCAGTGTGAATTTATAAGTGGTGTTTGGGATGGGGATAAGGATGAGGATGTAGAGTGGGTAAAGGATGGGTGTGAGGATGGATTCAGGCCCGCCTACTGGCTGTTGTGGTAACTTCTGCTAATATTCCTCGTGTGTCTAGGGGTATTCTAATCTGTGTCATCTGCACAATCCTACTCAATCGTTGTCTAGGGGTATCGTCTTAACACTCAACAATCCTTTAGCCGTTGTCTAGGGGTATTTACTGATCGACCAAAAACCATGTGTCCCACAAACCCGTCCGAATCATCATATTGCCAGCGTTTCCACAATCACTTCCAACCTCGAAAAAGAACGGAGTAAGATATACATATTAAATATGTATTGAAAATGAAAAGGCCGAAATAAATAAAAGCGAACAAATCAAACAAAAGTGCCAGAAAACGAGCAATGTCACGGTAACCGTGCACTGCTAAAGTCATCAAGTAAATATTGCCAAAGTGCCGAAACATTCAATGAAAGCCGAAACAATGATTAAGCCGAAATCATGACACCGAAATAATATTGCCAAAGGGGTGGAACTGACTCATAGCAGCCAAACGTGCCGAAATGGACTGAGTCGAGTCCCGAAACACGGTGTCTCAAAAAGACATATAGACCAATCAATCGAACCTAAAACTGCCCACAGTACCGCGGCCATCCTGAAGTGTTGTTTCCTACGCCAGTGTGACTATATGTGCGTGTCTGTGCCTGAGACATATCTCCGACCGCAGCAGAGACTCAACCGAAGTCAGGCTCTAACCCTTTCACTCCGCCGGTCGGAACCAGTGGCGTGGATAGGGCTTGGCAAGAGTCCGGTTAGAGACGTCCGACTGGGCAGGAGATAAGGCCCAAGAACTTACATGTTTGTAGACCAGACGCACAAGGCGACCACCACGGGCGGCGTCGGGACCACCACTGCCCGCGCGCGAACCAGAGAGCAAGAGCCCCGGAGAGAGAGCGAGCGAAGGTCTCAAACGCGCCTATTTATACCTTCGCACATTCACCGCACAGGGCCGCGCCCGTCTCTAGCCCTTGCCGTCTCGGGGCTGGCGCAGCCGGCGATCGGCGCCATGGTATTTCTATATAGCATTCACATATCTTACCAATTGTCCTATCGCAATATTCTAATCTACCACCACCATGGTGCAATGTAGCATCATTATCCGCTCCCTATCGAGTATCGAACAATGCACAACAATCTGTACCGGTGTTCATACTACCGACAACGTTTAAGGCGCCACCTGCAATTGCATATCTAAATACCGTCACCGCTATTGCCGCAAGCATGTCAAAATAACATGTCGCTGCGTAACATTCAGGTCAACGCACCATCACTCCAATCAGTGTGCCGTGCTTTGTGTGTCGCGTATCTGAACAGCCACGCCGTAATTATCGCTCGGACATAACCATGTACCTTCTAAATGTGTATTCCCCATCACCCTTCCTGATGTTGATAACACGAAACTCACTCGATGTCTTGTTGCTGCAAAAGTACCGATGCATTGCGCCAGCTGTCCCTTATATTTCCGACTGTCTATCCACTGCGCGACTGCCTATCTGGAATATTTTTGTTACACTGTTCCAATAACAGGATATCGCCATTTCACGGTTCGCATAATTAATCGTTAGACGGGGTACCTTCATCTCACATTCCCTCGATGACCGCGAAAGCAACACCTCGGTCGTTCGGTTTGTCTCTCACTTCATACTTGTGCAGAAGTAGGTGTGCAGAAGATACGAGTTGAGTTGATAAGAAATCGGTCGCACCGAAGAGCCGGCATTGCTGCTTTGCATGTAGATCATGCACTGTCCATGGTCTGTCCGCTCCATTCCAGCCGAAGTACTAACAGCGCGCGCTCAGGGTCAGAGCTGAGCAGTGTACGACCCTCCCGCAACCGCGGGCTGCCGCTCGTTATCTGGCACCGATGTTGCAGCTGATTCTGATCGGCCATCACCTGTTGATAGCAAGATATGTGCACCGGAGCCAACAGCTGTGAACACAAGCATAGTCACCTTTTCCCCTCCCTGAGACCTGTTGATGAAATGGGGTAGGATAGATACGAAAGTTGATCATACTTTTTCAACTGCCCTTTCTTTCAAGCTGTACGAGGGGGTATCGAAAAGTTCTGATCATCACATAGAAGATATAGACCGATTTTGATGATTTTTGGTTTGTATTATTGTCGCAAGGCTTTGTTCAAAGGACTATTGCTACAAGCGCGTATGGCCTTGTTCAGGTGCGTGCGGCCCGCTGCAGATCCGGGTTATTAATTCAACGACTGACCGGTTCTGCAGAGGTTTCCGCGTCGTTCCTCGAATAAGCTTATGCGCTTGCCGCATGACGCTCCTTATATGATCGCGCTGTGCGTGCAAGATCCTGTATATAAGCGTGCGTGAATTATCAAATACACAGAGTGCTCGAGACCGGCTTTGGGGACGCATCGGCACACCGAACCAAGTAAGTCGGCAATTCCACCGGCCGACATAATGGTGGCAGCGGTAGGATTATGTGCCCTACTGTGTGTCCCCCTGCGTGTCCCCTATGTGTGACGTACATGCCCGTTTAGGATTATATAGGGTGTATTTTTCTGGTCCCAATTTTTTTTCCGGTGCATTTTAGATACTAACCATGCCAGACGACCATATTCAGCCTCTCCCTAACACCCTCAACATTCATCAAATCGGTACTTTTATCCCCAACTTCGACGGTTCGTTCCCCATTCAAGATTTTTTTCCGGGACGTCAGAGAAGCCGCATCCCTAGGAAATTGGCCTGACGTAGTCTCTATCAAAGTTGCCAAATCTAAAATGCAAGGTCATGTCGCTGACATTGTCCGCACTCGTGTGACTCTGTCCAATGCAGAAACGTTGAATGACTTTGAAACTCTTTTAACGAACGCTCTTCATACGGATCGACCTATCTCCTCCCGTCTGCAAGATCTTATGACGTGTATACAACATCCCTCCGAGTCTGTAGACGCATTCGCCTGCCGCCTCAGAACTAAAGCAAAGTCATTGACAGAGTGGGACGCTACCCCAGACACCCAACAACT